CCCGTTGCGGAGCACAGGCTCCGGACACGCAGGCCCAGCGGCCATGGCAGCATGTGGGATCTTCCCAGACCGGGGCACGAACCCATATCCCCTGCATCGGCAGGCGGACTCTCAACCACCGCGGCACCAGGGAAGCCCTAACATTCCTTTTTATACCATCATCACTATCATCATTAACTTTATCATCATCCTCTCAGTAGCAGCTGCATCGTAACAGCTACTACTATTTATCCTCAAGACTAAGGCTTAGTTTCACTTCTTTTATGTTTCTCATTAGTCTTATACTCCACGTACACATTCAACCAAATGGCTTTTTTTCCCCACTCTGAAAAGCTGTTTTTAAATTCATGGCACCTTAGAAAACTGAGGAAATATGGCAGACACTGAAATTTTGAATTAGACTTGGGCTAGAATCCTGAATTTGCCACATATGCCCAAGTTTCTGTGTGCCTGTTCTGACATCAAAATATAGAAATAATACACACTTTTTTGGGTTATTGTAAGCATTAAATGAGATCACATATGTAAAACACCTACGGAGTGACTGGTAAGTAACAAGTGCTAAACACTAGCTTCTTACTATTTTATATCTAAATCATTCACCACTGTCATTCGTCCTTCTTTCTTAACTCCTTCCTTCCTTTGGCTGTGTTAACACTATGGGGCCGATTCTCCTCTTGCCTCCTGGAAAGATCCTTCTCCTCTGCCTTGGCTTTACCTCTTTTTGCTATATAAATGTCCTCTTAGATCTGTCTACTTCTCTCCATCCTCACCCCCACCTTTTAGTTTAAATTATTATCTCTCACTTGGACTTCTGTAATCATTTCTAACTCGTCTCCTAAATCCACTTCTGCCCCCTACTATCCATTCTTATGACAGCAGCTGGAGAGATTGCTTTAAAGTGCTTTTAATTACATCTCTTCCCTTCAAAGCCTCTGCTCTTCAGATAAACAAAATTTTAATATAATCTGGCCTCTACTTACCTCATTAGGACAACTCCATCTTTCATATCCTTAATCCCTGCATAACCACTCTAGGTATTTAAAGCAGCTATGCCGTGCCATCTTATGTCACCATTCTGGGCAACACATATATAGAAATCTTGGTGGCTGGGACTGCAAGCATCCCAGGCAAAGTGGCCCTAGTCCTCCCGCCACCAGGGGCCTCCCCAGAGAGATCACAGAAACAAATTCTACCATGTCTCTAATCTTTGTTTACATCAGTTTAACTTCCAGAAATTACCCTCTCAATACATCTAACCTCAGCCCAGTATGATTCTCATGTTGTTTTGCCCCACCTTGCCAATGATTCATCCCTCCACTCTTCCCTGACCTTGCAGGGTCTGAGGCACAATTAGATGGGCAATTTCAAACAATCACTCCAGCTGCTGTCTGGAGAATGAAATTGCCATTTCACAATCAGCAAATTTCCCCATATCCCAAACCTCTTCTTGAAGGGTTTCTTCCACCTCATGGCCCTACCTGAAACTAGCCTGTCCCTAGGTGCCACTTCTCTTAACAGTGGGGTCTCAAGTAACAAAGTTACCTATTCTCTCACATCTCAGGGTAAAGAGATGAGGTGAATGGTCTCCTTACTCCTCGATGCCATGTCTTAACCATTACTCACCAACCCTCTTGAAAAAACTCCATCTCTCTGAGACACGCACACCATTTAGCTGTAATACCATCTCCCGTCCTTAACCTTGTCATTTATGAATCTCCTATTGATAATCCCTTCCTCCAAACATTCACTGATGATTTCAGCACCTGGCTTACAATATTCCTCTATCCTCAGAAACTTCCAAGTCCATGTGGACTTCATATGATTCCCAAATCTTCATTTCTAGCCCAGATCTTTCTCTTGAGATATGGATGCATAAAGTAATCCATAAAGTTATTCGTTCATTCACTCATCAAATATATATTGAATGCCTACTATGTGCCTGGCACCACAGCTAAGAATAAAGCTGACAAGATTTCTGCCCTAATGGAGCTTCCATTCAAGTGGCTAGCTTATAGCAGGCATCTGTACTTGTATCAAAAGTTTCTCTTCCTCCTGTGTTTCCTTAACCTAGTGAATGGCACCATCATCCAATATGAAAATCAGACCAAAACCCAGGAATTATCCTTATTACTGCTAACACACACTGAGTCAATTCTATATCCTTCATATTTTTATCACAATACTGTAGTGGTTTCTTAACTTCTAACCAATTCTCCACTCAGGAGCCAGAGTGATCTATCCAAAATGCCATCTTGATCATCTTACTTCCCTGCTTAAAATCCTTCAACAAATGCTTGACATACAAGCATCTTCTCACCTGGCCCCACTCTGGACACACAGAGCTACTTCAAGTGTGTCATGCACACTCAGAACTTTGGGATTTTAGAAATGTAGTTCTCACTGTTTAGAATATTTTACCCTTTTTTTGATGGCCTACCCCTACTTATCCTATTGACTCATGTAAGGCATCATGTTCAATGCAGAGCCTTCTCTGACCCTTACCTTTCTACACAGGAGCTAATTACACCACATTCTGATCACCTGTATACATGTCTCTGTCCTCGTTTAGACCAAGTACCTTTCAGGGCAAACAGGAGATTTTTGATGTTGTTTATTTTAAATCTCTGCATCTTTAGTATCTAATAGGTACTCTTAATAAATGAATAAGTAAAGCACAAGCTAGTTTACACTGTTATGCATGTTTATTATACATCCTGCTTACCAAACTAACTACATGGTTGTTGTTGCTATTGTTTTTCATAGAAATAAAGGTAAGGTGATAATTTAGCTCTTTTTTGAAATTCCAATATATATCAAAGTACTTTGCATACAGTAGGCGCTGAATGGATTTTGCTGTTAACATTCTTTTAAAATATGGTAAATGTACAAATATAACTTTTTTTTAATAACATCTTTATTGGAGTATAATTGCTTTACAGTGGTGTGTTGGTTTCTGCTTTATAGCAAACAAATATAACATTGTGACAACATACAATTTGCTTTCACATAATCTCATATTCTGGACTGAGAAAGTAAGAGAAAGCTTACCTCTTATAAAAAGTAAATTAATTCCTTCAGTCCATAGAGACCTGAGGGCTCCCATGCACCAAATTAGTATATTTCATTACAACAAAGAGTTAATTAATTTAAAAACTAATTTCTTTCTATTTAACATTAGAGTCAAGCTCAAAGTGTTTGAATTATTATGTACTGTAGATTAACATGAAAATTACCATCAATCTGCCTCTGAGGCAAACCAGCTGTTGGGCAAAGCTCCTCGGAAGACATCAAGCTCAACACCAAAGATGTATTTAGTTCTTCCAAACCTGGTCCAAACATGGCAAATCGTGGTTCATTCTGAATGATCAATGAGTGCAAAAATGAGGTGACAGCTCCATACATAGGACGGCTAGATTTTGAGGGTCTTCTTGTATATGGACAGCACATTTTATAGCTGTATAAAATTGTCACAATTAGAAAATTAACACAAACACTTACTTAGCCAGTTATTCATTCAACAATATATAATGTATTGAGAACTTGCTAGACAAAAGGGATAAAATGATTATACAGTCCCAATCCTCATGGAGGGCAGTGGAGGACAGGCACCATTATAATACGTATGCCGAGTGCCATGACAGAAAAAAGCACAAGATGCTATGGGAGTAGTAGTGGTCTAGTAGCTGAGGAGGTCTTCCCTGGAAATCGGTTACTTACTTTCTAATTTTTCATTTAGATTCTCTAATGAAACACTTGGTCTAACACGTGTTTCAATGCTTAAAATTCACTACATAAAGCAGTGATTCTCAACCTGGGGAGATTTTGCACCCCCAGCGAACATTTCCTAAGGTCTAGAGTCCAGGGATGCTGTTAAACATCGTACAATGCACACACAAGACAGTTCCCATTACATCTGGTCCAAAATGTCAATAGTGCCAAGACTGAGAAACCCTGTACTAAGCATAAACTACATAGTTAGTATAAATGTCCCTAGAGATAAAAAAGAAAAAAAATTACTAAAGCTACCAATATAACCAAATTTCTTAGGGTACTTCTATTAACAGTAACAGTTCAATAAGTATTAATTACAGGGCAGCTCAAATTGTTCCTTATAGGTAACCTGGCAAACTAAGAATCATGTGAAAGAAACAACTCAACTTTTTCAATAGCTATAAATTTCTAAACTAGCAATTCAACATGTTATCAAAAATTAAAACAAAGTTACTCAAATCAAAATAAAACCTAAAGCCCTTTAAATCGAGCTGGTTAAGACAATAACTAACATTACAAGACAATCATCTTTACTTAGGAACCGTGTAATTCAAGAAGGAAAAAAAAATCAACTTTGCAGCTATGTAGATCTGGCTAAGCCTCACCACTTTAATTAGTTATATAAGCCACTTATAGTCTAAACTTCAGTTTTTTCATCTGCATTATTTAAGCAATAACAATTAATCCAGGGTCATAAGGATCAGAAATAATTTATATGATCACAAATGGTCGTTATTACGATTATTACTATCCCTAGGAAAACGTGGTTCCACAGCGCACAGAAACACTTGATGTTATGGTTGGCTGTGGGACAAAGAGGTAACACTAGCAAGTGAGAGTACAGTAGCACTTGTTAAAATTACATACATGTATATTTTAATCAAGTAGTCTCACAAGACTTGATGTAATGGCATCTGTATTGGAATAAGGAAAGATTCTGAATAACTTAAAATATGAAAAAAAGTCCCACATGTAGCTATTAAATCTACCACAGGAAAACAATTCTTACCTAACGCACAAATATTCTCTAAATTTTACTTACAATGCCTTAAATTTGGGGCTCTTAATAAAACAGGTTATATCCAGAACTAACGACATTACAGTCCCTTACAAATTATATGACCTTAGACAAATCCATAACCATGCAGAACCTTCATTCCACATCTATAACACAAGGAAAATACCTTCTTATTGCGTGAAAATTAAATAAGTAAACATACATAAAACATCCATCATAGAATCCAATACACTATAGTTGCTCAATAAAATTAATTCTCTCAAATACATGATATTCGAAAATGTCAATGCATTTGGGTGATAACAAAATCTTATTTCCCAGAAACTTAAGAATGGTTTTCTTCCATGCAAAAGAACTCCTGTCTGAACTCTGGCCTTTCCTTCTCTGGATATGGAAAAGTATTTAGTTTAACAAAATGACAAGTGTTGTAAAGATAATGAAAATTTTAAGAAGTGTTTTACTTCTTTCCATATAAACTATCTATAATTATTCAAATACTCTACTTAGGTACTACAGGGAAATAACAAAATGTGAACGCCTAAAAGGGTTCTATGAAGGAAGTTATTTTACCTAACCCCCAATTTTTACAAAAGGACACTCAGACTCAAAATTCATGCAACAAATTAGTAGGAGGGCCAAGACTAACTTAGACTACTGACTTGTAATATAGTCAAATTTAATATCTTCTTTTTAATTCGTAAAACTAGATACTTACACTGCCATGTAGTCAAAAAATGCACCATCAGTGACCTCAGATATAGGCTTTTTTAAGATTTCTAGATCTGGAAGAGACTTCCAGTCAACAGAAGACCAAGAAGGAAGATCCCGCAACAGAAAATATCTCCACAGAACTGCATCTCGTACAGTTTCATTCCAATAATGACTTGTACTTCCCAACTGACATAGATCATGAGGTGAAAGAAATGACAAAATATATAGCTGTACATCAATCTGAAACAGAGGGAAGCAGCAAGTAGGTTAAGGGATGAATAATTTATCTTGGTAAAAAGTTTTTTTAAATAATACATTACAGGGACTTTTAAAAATAATAAATTACAGGGACTTCCCTGGTGGCGCAGTGGTTAAGAATCCGCCTGCCAATGCAGGGAACACGGGTTCGAGCCCTGGTCCAGGAAGATGCCACATGCAGCGAGGCAACTAAGCCCGTGCACTGCAACTGCTGAGCCTGCGCTCTAGAGCCTGCGAGCCACAACTACTGACGCCGGCACTCCTAGAGCCCGTGCTCTGCAACAAGAGAAGCCACCGCAATGAGAAGCCCGCGCACCTCAATGAAGCGTAGCCCCGGCTTGCCGCAACTAGAGAAAAGCCCACGCGCAGCAACGAAGACCCAATGCAGCCAAAAATAAATAAATTTATAATAAATAAATAAATAATAAATTACAAAATAACATATTATACTAGGAAACCAGAGGTCAACTGAACAGTGCATCATTTTAATAATTAAATCTATCATGATAAATTACAAAATTAACAGTTTTTATACTAAATAACAAAATATCAACTTAACAGTCTTTTTTCTTTTTTGCAGCAGCAGCATGTGGAACTTCCCTGACCACGGATGGAACCCGTGCCCCTTGCAGTGGAAGCACAGTCTTAACCACTGGACCACCAGGGAATTCAATAGTCATTATTTTTAATGATGAAATCTATCATGCTGAAGTTAATTTCCTGTCTCTGGACAGAATCATAATGAACATTTCATTTTTGACACATCGAGACATTCCTGAAATACCTCCCATTGTTCTGGTATTTTTCAAGTAAAATAACCACTTCATTTAATTTTTCCTTATGAATATTCTGCCACAGCATTTATTTGAATGAACTGCTTAATGAAATAATTTATTCTTCAAAATGAAATCTTTATCAAGCGGACAAACTTCTGATTTTATCATTACATCAAATCAAAGAGTAAATCTGTCACCTGCGTTCTTCTGTAAAATCTGTTATTTCAGAGAACCTCTGCAAGGAGAACCATGGAGGCAACCTAAGCCTGCAGTGTTTAATTTCTGATGGACCTCAGAGAGTCAACAGTCCAGCTGACATACAGCATTTTAATAATTTCTAAGAAATTCTCCTCTCTCCGTTTTCCTATCTACCTGAAAAGTTTAACAATGAAAAATGTGTGTAGTTCTCGTGGCCTGCTGTAACTTGAGGCCATTGTAACTTAGTCATTTACTTTCCCGCATTTTTTTTAAGTTTTTTTTTTTGATGTGGACCATATTTAAAGTCTTTATTGAATTTGTTACCGTACTGCTTCTGTTTTATGTTTTGGTTTTTTGGCCAGAGGCATGTGGGATCTCAGCTTCCCACCAGGAATCCACCTGCACCCCCTGCAGTGGAAAGTGAAGTCTTAACCATTGGACCGCCAAGGAAATCCCTAGTCATTTACTTTCAATTGTCAGTTTTGTCACTTGAAATACAGGTAAGATAACAGTCGCAAAATCCTAGGAGACTGTGTGTTTTGCGGGACCGCCAGGTGTTTCGGTACATGGAAGCTGGGATGATAGATGCTAAGAACACAAGACACTGGACGCTTTCCATGATTTCCAGCACGTCTGGCACGGTCCCCGCGTTTCCTTAACCTGATGTTCAGGGTGCCCCAGTCCCTAGACCTGTTTTGGGGGTAGAAAACCGGAGGGTGACCTGGCTGGTTGCCAGGGCACAACCTGCAGGTGAGTTTCGGGGCGACCTTCGGCCCAGCTGCGGGGCACCAGGGGTCAACGCCAAGGCGTTTCTGCTCAACTGCTGCCCCCAGGTGACGACACTGCCCGGAACGGCTGCAGGGACGGGGCCAGACACAGGCCGGGCCCAGGGAGGCTCCCCACCCCCCGTCGCGGCCCCCAGAGGCCGCCGCAGCCCCCAGAGGCCGCTCCGGCCAGCGCCCCTCCCGGCCCGGCCCGCGGTCCTCCGCGGTGGCGGCCGACGCTCACCGGCAGCCGCGTTAGCGAGCTGGCCTCCTCGTCCGCCTCCTCCGGGGAGGCCCCCGGAGCCGCCCTCTCCTTGCCCACCGACTGCCAGAAGTTCCTCCAGCCGGTGAGGATGGCAGCCTCCAGGCGGCCCCAGTCGCTGTGGTGAGGCTGAGGGGAGACGCTTCCGCTGCGCGGCCCGCTTCCCGCCATGGCTGCCGACGCCGCACGTGACGCGCCGCCCGGTGACGCCGGCGTGTCCGTCCCCTGCTACCCGCCCCGCCCCGCCTCCGCTCCCTCCCTTTCCCCAACCCCCGTTGCCGCCCCCGTCCCCCCCCACCCCCCGCACTCCCGGTGGAGAGGCCTCCAGAGCCCGGGACAGAACGGAGAGATGGCCCGATTGAGCGTGGTTCCCAGTTGAGCTTCAGGTTCCTGCCGACAATCACTGCTCCCCTCACAACACGCCTCAACCTTAGGCGCGCTGACCTCACCCGTTGGTATAAAATCTCTCGCCCTTTGACCCTCTATAATTTTGTTACTTCACCCAAGGTGGGTCCCACTGTCTGGGACCCATTTCCACTTTGCCTGGGTCTGGGAGACTCTTAATTATGCATAAGATGGTGGCCCTCTTCCACTATCTGGGGCTTAGTATCTCTACGTAATCTGGTTTAAACTCTCAACCAGCACTTGCGTGCAACTTACAGGCCATGCAGCTATCCCTTCTCTTCGTGAGAATATTCAAATATGGAAATTTCTAAATTTCGGAATCAGCCTCTGTCCACCATTGTCTTATGTCAATTGTCAAAATCTTCTCACATATTACCCAAATCACCCATTTAAAAAAATTAATCTATTTTTTGTTGTTGCAACTTTTTCTTTTATTTAAGTATAGTTGATTTAGTGTTGTGTTAATTTCTGCTAGACAGCAAAGTGATTCAGTTTTACATATATACATTCTTTTTTATATTCTTTTCTATTATGGTTTATCACAGGCTATTGAATATAGTTCCCTGTGCTGTTCAGTAAGACCTTGTTGTTTATCCATTCTGTATATAATAGTTTGCATCTGCTAACCCAGAACTCCCACTCCATCCCTCCCCCACGCCTTGGCAACCACAAGTCTGTTCTCTATGTCTGTGAGTCTGTTTCTGTTTTTTAGATGTTCATTTGCGTCATATTTTAGATTCCACATATAAGTGGTATCTTTACGGTATTTGTCTTTCCCTGTCTTACTTCAATTAGTATGGTAATCTATAGGTCCATCCATGTTGCTGCAAATGGCATTATTCTTTTTTATGGTTGAGTAATATTCCATTGTATATATGTACCACATCTTATTTATCCATTCATCTGCCAATGGACATTTAGGTTGTTTCCATGTCTTGGCTATTGTGAATAGTGCTACTATGAACATAGGAGTGCAGTATTTTTTTAATTTTAGTTTTGTCCAGATATATGTCTAAGAGTGGGAAATTAATCCCATTTTTTAATAAGTCTTCAAAATAGAAGACAGGATCAGCAACTTCATAAAACCATTCAGGTCTTTAAGGATCATGATAGGCTACAGGGAACATATACATACCTTGTGTGTATGTACAAATGTTTAAAGACATACATATATTTAACATAATATATATACACCTCTCTGCCTCTCTCTCCCTATCTGTATCTATATCCACATTTTATCTATATTCCACATAGCAGAGCACCATAATGCTTAACGGACACAGGGCTTATCGGTTTGTATTTGCACTTCAAAAGTAAATATCTGGGGATCTAAATGTCAAATAACAGAAACTCAATAAAGCCCAATAACTGAGGTTCTGTGAGATCTGAATTTAGTTTCATTATGTATCTTGCATGCCATTGCCAGGGGCCAATAACCAACCCAACTTAAGGCTTAGTTTGTGAGGCTGTCCAGACAAGAAAAAGAGCCATGAATTAATTGGCATTTCTCCTACCTCTCTAGGAACAAGAAAGAACTAACACAAGAAAAAAAAAATCAGTTTAAGTATGAAGTACTGAAATGGTTCTAAGCTTTCTTAGAAAGAAAGTGACATTTGTAAAAGAATGTGTTCAAATAATTTTTTATTATGGAAAAATTTGAATACATATATATATATAGGAATATGAGTGAATAAAATGAAATAAAATGTATTTACTAGCTAAGATTCTAGTTACCAATGATTGTTTTTTGTTTACAAGGTGCAAAATGTTGCTTTTCAAATTTTGTAATTCCTTTTATTAGGTGAATTAAAGAAAAATTGTCCCTCATCAACCATTTGACTGCCCTGCCCAAGATCTGAATTGGCCTTATCTCTAAGGAGCCCTAGTTCGTTTTAATGGGAAATGGTATTTAGACATTATTTAATGGTCTTCATACTGTTATTTCCCATTCAAATTTAGAATTACAGAATTTTTACTTACCTTATTCAGTTTCATGTCTCTTCTCTTACACTGAAAATCCTCAATACATTTCTGATTTTCATAGTTGTTAACAATGTAAGTACCGAGGAGTTTGATTTCTTTCCAGTTCCTTTTGCCCTTGGGGATATCCCACTAGGGGTGTGAAAATTTTGTGCTTTAAAGATAACTGACACATTCCTGTGTATTGAAGCCACCAACTTGCTACATAATTACAGCTCATTTGTTTCATTTTGCTTTGGATTTTTAGGGGTTTTAATTCTGATGTAAAAAATACAAAATTCAGCATATATTCAGAGAAGTCGTTTCCATCCTGATCCCCTCCAACTGGTTCCTCTGCCCCCATCTCCCACTTCCACCATAGGTAACCATTTTCTTAAATTTTTTTTTAATATAAGCAAACAAGATTATACACACACATTTATATTCTTTCTTAAATAAATAGTACTATACGCCTTCTCCACCTTGTTTTTCACTTAATATGGCCACTCCATAGCATTTTACAGAAATATTCCTCTTTGGTTTTTAAAGCTGCATGCTACTCAATCATGTGGATTTACCAGTTTAACCTATTTTTAAATAGGGTATCCGTAATATTTAGATGACTAATATTAATTAAATGCATCTGAGAGATGCAGTGAGATAAGAGACCAAAAGGTAAGAGTGAGACCAGAAGCCAAGTCAGTCAAGCTGATTGGTAAATGTGGAAGTTCATATACAGCAGGTATATATACATTTGGAGTCTGAGGCTGAAAACTTCTGAAAATTGGGCTTCCCTCGTGGCACAGTGGTTGAGAATCTGCCTGCCAATGCAGGGGATATGGGTTCGAGCCCTGGTCTGGGAAGATCCCACATGTCGTGGAGCAACTGGGCCTGTGAGCCACAACTACTGAGCCTGCGCATCTGGAGCCTGTGCTCTGCAACGAGAGGCCGCGACAGTGAGAGGCCCGCGCACCGCGATTTAGAGTGGCCCCCGCTTGCCACAACTAGAGAAAGTCCTCGCACAGAAACGAAGACCCAACACTGCCAAAAATAAATTAATTAATTAATTTTAAAAGAGAGTAGCGATAAAAAAAAAAAAAAACTTCTGAAAATTAACTGTAGGTGTTCTCCCAGCCACACTTACTACAAACATTTAAGATGCCTATACAGCCAGTGATTTCTTCTCTGAAAACTTCTTGCCATTTAGAATGGCCACCACCACTTGTACTGAGCAAAGGGCAGTGAGTGCTCACTGGCCAGAACAAGAGTTTGTCACTCAGTTATTCTGGTTCATGAGTATTATGGTATTTTTTAGCATGATGAGTGAGGTGTGCCAATACATAGAACTGGCCATTAAGGAAAATAATAACTTTTGAGCTCTTACCATGTGCTAGGCATTGAACTAAGCACTTTGAATATTAACTCATTTATTCTTCAATAACCCATGAAGTAGATATTATTATTATTCCTGTGTTAAACAATAAAATGCTAAGGCACTGAAAGGTTAAATAATTTATATGGAATCACACAGCTAGGAAACAACAGAGCTGGGATTTAATCAGGCCTCTACCCATATTCCTAACTACCAAACCACCCTGTCTGAAAGGTATCAGGACCAGAAGCAATAATATTGTCAGTATGTTACCAAACCAAACTTGGGTCCATTTGCCCTTATGCAGTAAAAGCCAATCTATTGACACTAGATTGTGGTGAAGGAAAGTGCAGCATCTACCTCAGGTGCCAAACAAGGAGCATGCGCAGCTAATGCTCAAAAGACCCAAATTCTCTGATGGCTTTCAGAGAAAGGTTTTTAAAGACAGGGCGAGGGAGAGGGTTGCGGGGTGCATGGTCAGCTCGTGGACACTCCTGATTGGTTGGTGGTGAGGTAATCGGGAGTCAGCATCATCAACCTTCTGGTTCCATCCAGTCTGGGGTCTATGTGCCTGTGGGCAGCATATAGTTAACTTCTTCCACCTGGTGGGATTTTCAGTATTTGCAAAACAGCTCTAAGGGTATGGCTCAGAATATTATCTATAACCCTTGAGGAGGAAGGAAAGGTCCTTGACTTTGTTTAATGGTTAAACCATTATTACTTTGTCCTGTTTGACTGTTTTCCTTTGTTTCTGCATTTTCTCACTTCTCTGATTAAATTTATTTTTGGAACTTGGGGAAAGCCTAGGAGGCTAAAGTTTTTCTATAAACAAGAGGCAGGTGGAGGACATGGGGGGAGGGGAGGAATCTGTCCCAGAAAGGCCCCATAGGGTCCTGCTTGATTACAAATCGTAAACTAACGATAAAAGTTTTCATTCTGACACAACACTCAGATAGAAAACAAAGATACAAATATGGGACTATGGTTTTATTATTTTTTTAATTTTATATGCTCCAAAACATTTTACTTGGAAATTTTCACTAGAAGTAGGAAAATAAAAAAACAGCAGCACGAATACATAATGCATATTTTAACTGTGGATACATTAAATGTATGTTAATGTAATACTTCCATGATAGCTCATATTGTGTTAAAAAAAATAATACAAGGAGGTGATACTAGAGAACTATGGAATCCTGTATTCTGTGGCAGAAGGGGTATCCTTATGGGAGTCAGAAAAGGAACCCTGGAAGGTGGAGAGAGAAAAGTGACAAGCAATCTAAAACCAGCATATAAGCCAGCTGCGGGTTTTTAAAAAATGGCATTAAAATGAATCTCCCACTTTAATGAACATCAGAGAATTCCCAGTGGGACTGACTGTAAAGGCAGGAATGTAAATTTCATCGTGGGGTTTTAGCCAATGACTCTCACCTCACTCTACAAGTAAGGGAAAG